TTAAATATATTAAGAACGGGCCACTAGAATCAGATCGCGAAGTTGTTTAGATGATTTAAATTTATGTCAGAAATATCAATGTCCAATCTGTGTAATACCTTGCAATATTTATATCCAGTAAAATGTTGGTGCTACAAATAAATTGAGAATACCGAAAATAATTTTTTGTACGATTATGTAAGTATTACAATATATGAACAGTGTGTAGGATTAAGTAATTGTGCCTGTAGCGTCCGGATAGTGAATAGAAAGAAAACATTTCAAGGAACTACTTTTGTAAAAAAATGTGAAAATCTGTCTTGTTTTATGAGGTTGTTTACTGACCTGGCACGTGCTTTCGAGAGCTGATCGATCTGGTCCTGAAAATCAACGACAACTTCCTGGTGCTTCTTGCGCAGAAGATGCGCGGTCTCCTCACTCTCGAGATGAACATCTTCAAGTAGTTTGCGCAGCTTGGCCAGTTCCGTATCCCTCTTTTTGTTGATCTCAAACTGCACATTTTTTTAAAGAAACCATTTTCATTTCGATGTAAGAACTAATTGGATGGAACAGAATTTCGTAACAGAAGATGTGCACACTTTAAACGTTTGGAGACTTACTTGAGATTCGGCGCCACCCTCTGCCTCTTCGAGGCGTTCGGACAGTTGGATGACTTGCACACTCAGATCAGCCCGCTCGCGTTCGATCTGCAAATCAAATATAACACATATTAATATTGACCTATGATTTATTAAGTAATTTGACAAAAATATTGTGAATTTTTAAATAATATTGACCTCCAATTTTATCTTCAATTATCAAAAATTAATCGGTCTCCATCCCTGATCGAGACAGGAAAAATTGCGAGATGAATGGAAGAAGAAAATTAAGTGGCATGCAACGAGATAGGATAAGGAACCAATTATCTAAAGAATTTAAGTGGTTTCTAGTGGCATAAGGTATACTTCATTCTTTAAGTAGGAATTCGCTTGGGATGTTCATGTTGATACACGTCGAGTGTAATCGAGACGCGCGGCATTGTTTTGGAAAGAGGCCTCGAGAGGAACGACGCGAACAGATTGGTGCAAGCTTGACGTCAGGTTTCTTCGGACCGTGAATAGAACGATCTAATTCGGTACGCGCAGACTCTATATCGGGAGCTTTATTCATATTACAAACGAGGCGGTTATCGAGAAAAGAGAGTCGCGCAATAACTACCCCGTTCTCCGGAAGTCATCCGCGTTCTCCATGCTTCCCCTTCAATTCATCAATTAACTATCAAGAGGAATTCTACATGAAAACAAAGAAATATTCCTAGAACTGTAAAACTAATTTTTGCCAATTATGAATCTATCAATTTTTGGATAGTAAATAATATTAATTATCGAGGCCGAAAATTTTATATTATCACAAATAAGTTTTAATTAGGAGCACGAAGTTTTATTACAACAATTTAATATAGAGACGAATAGTAAAATTGAGAAAATGAAATAGTAGGGAACGAAATAGCAGACATTCATGAAATTGTGTAAGAAGAATCACGACTCGAGCGACATTCTAGATATTTACTTTTTGGAATGAGTAAGCGATGCTTTATCGGGTGATTCGCGTTTAACGCGAACATAATTTGTAAGTTTTTATGTATTCGAAGAATGGAGGAGTCCCTGGCACCGGTTCAAGTTACGCATCACAGACGATGTTACATATAAATTTAATTTCCTTGAAGCTCGATCGAACATCGAAACCGAAAGAACTTGACGTGCCACTTAAACTCGGACTTCTATCTATTGTTTTTTAAATAGTAGGCTACATTCTTTGTCAAGTTCAAAATTTGAAATTTCTAAACTTTTCGAAAAAAAAAACATTACTTGGAAATATGAAATGAAAAAATGTAGTCATTTATTCTGCATCGTGCATTGAAAAAGGTTCTATATTTTGAATTTAGTCATTCAGAATTATTAATAGAATTTTCTGCTGCTCTCTTTCCGATAAAGTTTTATCGTTTATCATGAACTTTTCTTTTTTAAAATAATAGCGTATAAATACACGTTAGGCGAACGCGAGAGAGCAATGAGAATCCGTACGCTGAAGATACGCGCATCCCCAAAAATAGCCGGGACTCAAGAGCTGGACATTTCGACCTACTGTTCCCCACTCTGTAGTGGAGAGCAGGCCGGCCTCGCTTTTTTTATATCAGTTTCAAAATTCACGATGTCCGGATTACATAAATTTTTGACATTCACGTTTATCATAATATTCTTATTTTCACGTTCTCAACCTGTGTACCTATTTCATAGCTTTATTTATACAGCAAAAATATGAATTCCTTATTGCACGTCAACAATCGTTAATCACCACCAATAAAAGAAAAATTATTGATTACGAGGAAACAAGTATTGAAGGAACTCTGCTTTAATGAACTTTAAAAGGGACAAAACTCAACAAAAATGTTGTATGCAAAAGAACTCACCCTCTGACGCAACTCTCTCTCGGACTCCAGGTCATCCTGCAGTAGGCGGATTTTGTCCTGAAACGAGAAAAGGATTAGAGAGCGTGTCGAGGACCACGTTACAGCGGGTCGCCGCTTTACGTAATCGGTCGACGAAAATATCCAACGGGCCGACGCTCGGGAGGTATTTTAGAAAGACGGACAACCTCTAAAAACGGGCTGGTCCGCGTAAGAAACGAAAAGATGATTCGTCGCTTGGTGATCATCTTTAACCGAGGAACCAGTAAACGTCCACTCGTCTATGCGTATTCCTCGACAAGGTGAAACGGCAAACGGTTCTTTCGATACAATCAAAAACATGAACAAAGTTAAACGATCTTACTTGAATTTACAGACGAGTGCGCGTTTACTGTTCCTTCGAATTTTCTCCATTCGTTGTCTTCATATTTTTCGAACGATTGGCATAGGTCGAAGATTCAAAGACAGATCCGGATGAAAGGCATCGCAAGCTCACTCGGAGACGTCACTCCTGCATGGCACGATCGTCATTTAAGGCCGATATTTAACGACTATTTTCGTACACGAGCAATCCGGCAGCTAGACACTTTCGTTCCTCATCAGGGTTGGCACTAATATCCCTTATGGTCACTGAACTTTCTCGCGCCTCACTGTCCCCGAAATCGGTCACTGCTCGACGTTTCACCTTTTCACCAGTGTTCACTTCTCCTTCGCTTTTTTATACGGTTTCAATTCTATCGTCTTTTCTTCTCGTTTCGTTCGTCTAATCTAATGCAAGTCTCAACTATTCTCCTCGTCGCCTTCGTCCTCTTCGTCCTCTTTGCGTTGCGTCATCATGGACGAACACTTCTCAGATTGGCCAAACGTCACAGATTCTTTTGATTGAATCAATCGAATCTAGCTTATACGGAATGTCACAACTTGTAAAAGATATTTCGCTTTATCGTCTCACTTTATTCAAGTTCTATTATTATCCTGTCTTCTTTGTTTATTTTCAAGTAAAATTTCTACATGCAATTTTAACTAATACCGAGGAAACCAATACATATCGTCTTCTCAATATGCCAACAGTCTTTATTCTTTTCATGATAGCCCCTCCAAATTTAATGATAGTAAAATTAAAAAAAATGAAAATTAAATGAAATTAGGAATGAAGCAACATTTAACTCTACAAAACGATAAAAACCCATGATTTGTATTACATTCAAAACCGTAATATCATCTACCTAGTTTCACACACATCTCGTGATGATATTTTTAAGAACGTATAAAACGATAACTCGTTTCCACAAACCTACCTCCAGTCTGCTGAGAGCGCTCAGGTCGGCACTGTATTCGATGTTGACATCGGCAGTACCACCGCCGGTGGAACGGTACGTGTACTTGGAAGATTTCGCGATCGTAGAAGACATCCTGTCTGCTCGCTTTCACTGGCAATTTCTTTCACGAAAATGTCCTGTTCTTTTTTCTTTCTTTTAGCCTAAGGAAAGCTTCTCGCCTCGCTTCACCCGTTGGCTTACGCTACCGTTTGTAGCTCGTCTATTATTTCAGGAAAGAACCGTCGTAATTTACAACCCTCTACTATTCGTTCTTCCTCCACACCGCTTCGTCTTCGGCCTCTTCTACTTCTTCTTCTACGTCGTCTTCTTCGTCTTCTTCCTTATCCTGTTCTTCTTCGAGGTTTCGGAGCCGACCAGCGCCCTACTCGTAGTGCGCGACCCGTCGTCGTTCGTATGGCGCGCCGGCGGCTCCATGGCATCGTCAAAATGACGGTTACACGCATGCGCGCTAGATCCTCGACCCCCACCAGGAACACGTAGACGACGACTCGTCATCGCGTCGGTACTCCGACGAACGGAACCACCAGCCTACGACCACCATCGTTACTTGAACGCCCACGTTCTCCAACGTGTCTGCCAACGGCCCTTATTCTTCAGGGATTCGCAATTTCGTGTTCGATTGCATTCTTCCTTCTGCCGAAATTATGAACAGCAAACCTTCATTCATCCAAAATGGACAAGATTTTGATAAGTGCGTACTTTAGATAATAGGACATCCCTAACTCTTTCATTATTTTTTTATTATAGCAGATGTTCTTACAATGTGTAAATTAAATTCTTATAATAATCAATCCTGTGAGAACGTATGACAGTGGATTGGCGTGCAGATTAACTGTTAATCATCAAAGATATTAACAATAAGCCTGGATTTTTCTTTCTCTGGTATTTCATCAACATCCACATTCAGCTCTTATTGTTAGATAACTGTACCAATTTTAATCCTAAAATATATGAAAGCCTCGAAAACTCGAATAACACGTTTCATATGTATATCATAAAAACACAAAACTTCACAGGTGTGCGAATGAAAATTGATTCACGAACAGAATTATCCTGACTGCAGACAAATGGAATTAGACCGATCCGCAGCATTCATCGGTCTCCGTGGAATTATTTGCCTAAAGTTTGACCTCCGCGCCCCTCTTTTCGCATACAGAATTAGATATGTCGTACTTGAAAACCCGCAGGGTCATCGGTTTTGCTTGTAGATCGGGCATCGATCATAGTAACGCGTCGTTGACACGTTCTCAACGGATCTGTACCGACTCACACATGGGGAAATTAACAATCGCGCGACGTCACTGCGGTTACACTATCATCAAAGAAAAGAGAGAAGAGCCAAAGATCATTTTAGAATCGTCGAATCATCCGCGACTATTTTTGTGCATCCACTCACCGCATTAGGAACATGTATTAGAAATTATATAGTCAGGTGTTATTAAAATTGTATTATAAACAACGTGTCATGCATTGATTACTCATCTTTCTCTTTCTGCTTAATCCGTGACTAATAATTTGAAGAAAATTAAAGAAAGCTTGACTAGTGTCCAAGAATATTTATTTTTGTATTTTGGATCTGATAAATAACAAATTGGTAATGGGACGGAACTGACTGATGAGTCAACAAGTGAGCAGAGAATTTTTCCTGAAGTAAAATCTGCTTCCCAGGTTTTACCAAATCCGCTGAGAATTTTCGCTAATCTTGAGAAACTGCGTTAGAATGTTGAGCTTTTCGCTATTTACATCAATTACGTTACGACGTTGTTGACGCCGCAACAATCCGCGTAGCGAGAGTACCGTGCGTGTTGCCGTCGACGGCGGTACTTGCAGCCTCCGTGTACGTCTGCATTTGTCTCGTTTTTGAAATCCGCTTCAAATTTCATTTCCAAATGACTATCCTATTTATTTATCATTGTTGCTTGTTTAAGCGAAATGTGTGTATTTAACAAGACTTATACTTATATTTATACAAGAGTATTTTGATATATGTACATAAGTATACATACAGACATACATGTGTTTCTGCGTCAGTATCGGGACGCTCAATCGTTTACTGGTACTACTGACCAGCCGTCTGAAACGGGAGCTTCCCACTTTACTAACATTCTCCCTCTACCGCGAATTCCTCGCGTATTTATATCTTATAATACATTTTTCATAACTCGGAATAGCGGCAAGAGATATTCGAACCTCTCCCTTCTTGAAAATCCTCGAATTGAACGATTCGCTTCTGTCTATGAATTATCTTATTCCTTTCCGTGAATGATTCCCTTTTTAAGTTGCCAGCCTTACGAAAGATCGTGTAAAACGAAAAGAGGAAAACTCATGGTTGTCCTATCATCTGAAACTTCCAGTTTTCACAAAATTTCCTCGGTTTCCGCCCCACTACCGACGAGTGTCTATAAAAGGTCGCCGCGCAGTGGTGGGCATAGATGTTCGTTCGGCCTAGCCGGGAGCTCACCAAGTAATTTGAGATTGGCCCCTTCTCTTCTACGTCCTCTTTATCACCTTGCTCCCACCCGTGTCCACCGTGGAAACGCGGCTGCTTCCCTCTGACGGGCGAATTCCAGTTGCTTAATCGAGAAAAGCGCATCGGAAGAGCTTTAGCTTCGACCAGAATAACTACCTCTTTTTCTCTTTTTAATCGCGCCGCTGCGCGGTGTCACGAATTTTTGCCACTCAGGCCACTCTTCTGTTCGAAACTGAGTTCCGATACCACTCTTCTATACCAGTGGCGGAACCAAATACGTTTAACCCTGATCCAATCTCTTTTGACTCGAAAAACTTTATTTTTCTACATTCTTCATAATGCATTTCATTAAAACAATGTTTAGTCTAGAAATTCTTTTATTATATTATTATTTTTGTGGTGCAAATTACTTATGATAAATTATGGGAGACCTTTGCCTCTACTTATATCAATTTCGATGTTCTGTGTCTATTATAATGAGAGAACAAGGAGCACACTTATTGTTAGAGCAATGAGAAATGATCTATTCAAATTATCTGCGAGCCATAGTTGCCATCCATTGTTCAATAGAAAATAAAGTTTTAAACGAAATATAATCCAGCTCTAGAGTTTCGAGTTTCAAGTAGATGCACTTCCCTTGGCACCTAGTCGTTTATTAACTATCTAACAAGTGTACCAAAATTATTCGGAGAATATGCCATGAACATGCCATGTTGCTTTAAATGACACATGTTGAATATGCCATGATGACATTCAGATTTATTAGACAACCGCTTAGATTAGTTTGCACGCAGATTAATCTAAACTCATAAGTGATTACAGAACTTCGTTAAAAAATATCATCGTTATCAATTTTTAATACTGATAAGTAGAATGAGCCTTCATAAGAGAAATGCTTAAGAATCGATTTTTCAATCATTTGGTTGTAAGAATGAAACGATAAATTGAAATGCATTTTTGCGTTTTTCGCGTCTCGTATAAAAAAGACTCCTAACGTTCTTTAAGCCGTCAGATAAGCACGCTGCTCCATTTTTCTAAATATACACCCGGTTTCACTCTCTTCTTCGTCTGAATTCTTTTAGGAAGTCGAGTTTCCAAGATTTTCACTTCCGGATTATGACCGGTTTAGTTTAGTAAATGGAATCATTAAAGCATTGATTTTTCCAATAATAAGTGTGCCATTAATACTCACAATAATTGGACTTTTTAGTGATTGCTTTAGGTAACAAAATAACTTTTGATACGTGTACTTTTAGTTTTGCATTGGTACACTGGACTGAAACAAATTATAAAATGCAAATTAAGCTATACTTGGACGAAATGTCTTTGGATCCACACCAAGCGCCGTGCCATAAGTATCTCTTCGTTCATTGTAATCAATGAAAACGTGCACGTAGAACGCAACTTCGTTTGTTTATACCCATTGCTGCTCTATAATTGATCGTCGATCGAGTCAGGAAGGAGGCAACAGGTGGGCTCTAGAAACGCTGGCTAGAGTCATCCCGCCGATATAACGATCTGAATTCTTTTGAATTACCTGTTCGGTCGATTTATTTCAAGTATCGGATTCGACAGGTTTTTGTAGTGCCGCGGGCATTATTGATTATCGAGAGTATGGATAGCTGGTATTCAGGCCGTCGACGACGATCATTAACTTGCTGCCGTTTCGAGCACAATACCATCTCCGAGAATATCTCGCGAACCATAAACAATGGGATCTGGCCCGATTCGTACGATGTAAATAGGGACCGCGTTCTGGACGCTTGCACGCGATTTGTAATCCGTTACCCGTTAGAACGCGTATATGTATACCTCGTCCTCGATGTGCCGCGCTGCGCCATGCCGTGCCAGAAGGGCAATTATTATATGCTCGCCGAAAAGTGGAAATATGAAAACCGATACATGTACCTTCCTATGCCGGCCGGTATCGTCTGCTTCAATTTACAGCCGTGCTACTTTCTGATCGCTTATTTTAAACGATCCGAATTCTGACCGAGGCGAAAGCTACGAATGCCAGTGTGCGTGATCCGGTTAATCGTTTCAAAAAAAGAATTTCCTTTTCATGGAATGAAACAAAGCCATTGATATAACTACGTGTTGTTAAACATTGATTATTTAATTATGTTCGTAGACACATTCTGTTGGATTGCACTTTCCACTTGTCATTGATAAATACAATTTAAGATTAACAATATTAAAATGAAGTGAACTATAACGCAAGAGTCTAAAAAACAATTTGTATATTTATGTTTAGTCTAATTTAGATAGAATGACATTACATTATTATATGGTGGGTAAAGATGAGAATTTTCTATTTTATACGCGTCTCCAAGTTTGAATATAATTTATGTCGTGAGTGAGGTCATGTCTGAAATGATAATACATATATACAATACGTTTCTAATTCTAACACGCAAAACGTTCTTAAAATATCAGGAAAGAATAGGATTGGATTTTTTAAATCAATTATTAAAAATGGATAGTGAAAGGTTAATAAAAGAAATGCATATAGGCAATTGGTTTTAATTAAAAGTTCTTAGCAAAAGTATCATTTTTG